GATCATCAAGTAGTTACATAATACTTGATCTTGAGTTCAAAGCTACAGTATCGTTACGTAATGTAAGGAACCAAACCTTTCGACAGAGGCCTATTCAAAGACCCATGAGCTTCAAACACAAAAGAGCCCTTCACAATAGTGCAATCGTGGGGGGGGGGGGGGGGGGGGGGGGGACGTTCTCGAAAGCGTCTCAAGTCTAATTTCTTAGATATCCCATTGAAACGTGTGTTATAGAATTAACACGCGTTTCTATGGGATGTCCACGAACTTAGACTTATGACGGTTTCGAGAGACTGGCCCCTGGAGTAGCCAGAACATTATAGTGGAGCTCACGAAATACTCTCCGAGATCGGGGGGTGTGGGGGGGGGGGGGGGGTACTTGAACGGGAAGCCTAATGAGCCCCTTGATTTAATTAAGGCCTACTATACCTTATATACATACATAGGTTTTTTGTCTATGAATGCCATTATTAAACAACTGCGTGAATTCTGATGGAAGGAAAAGGACGAAACTCGAAAGGGATACTTTAAAAAAAAGTTAATGAGATAAGCTTTCAAAATTTGAAGAAGATGTTACTCGAGAAACGACAGCAAACTTCGCAAATGACTAGAGGGAAAGAAAACATTACAATCAAAGAAACGAATAAGACCAGGGATTTAATTGGAATGGAATACCACACACACACACACACACACGCACACACACACACACACACACACACATACACACAAACACCCCCCCCCCCCATCATAGTATAGAACTACATATCAAAATAGGTCAAGCTTAGACCACGAAGAAAGAAAAATTGTTAAAATAGTTTAGCTTTAATTATTGAGGGCATTTTATCGCCTCAGCATTAATATCTTTTCCAGATCGAAAAGCAGAAATCCTTTTATGTCCCTATTTTTCTTTTCGGAGGTTGATTAACTGTGTTCGTTTATTGTTGCCATATAGTTACTGACGAATAGGACACGTGGCTTGACACACTAGTATGGTCTAAAATTGAAACAAACCATTCCCAAGGGGAGGGGTGCTATGTATTGATTCAAAAAATTTAGGGGGGATAGCAAGAGAAAGAAGAACAGCAAAAGGAAGGGGAAGATGCAAAATCAAATAAAGTAGGAAAATCATTCGTTAATATTGTATATCTTACTACTACTACTACTACTACTACTACTACTACTACTACTACTACTACTACTCTTACTACTACTACTAGTAGTAGTATAGTAGTAGTAGTAGTAGTAGTAGTAGTAGTAGAAGTAGTAGTAGTAGCAGCAGCAACAGTATTAATAATTGTTGTGCTGTTAGTAGTAGTAGTAGTAGTAGTAGTAGTAGTATTAGTAGTAGAACGGTAATAGAAGAAATAGTAGTAGAAGTAGTAAAAGTAGTGGTGGTGGTAATAGTAGTATGTAGTAGTAGTAGTAGTAGTAGTAGTAGTAGTAGTATAGTAGTAGTATATAGTAGTAGTAGTAGTAGTAGTAGTAGTAGTAGTAGTAGTAGAAGAAGAAAAAGGAGAAGGGAAAAAAGAAGAAGAAGAAGAAGAAGAAGAAGAAGAAGAAGAAGAAGAAGAAGAAGAAGAAGAAGAAGAAGAAGAATGAGAAGGAGGAGAAGAAGAAGGAGAAGAAGTGGAAGAAGTGGAAGAAGTGGAAGAAGTGGAAGAAGTGGAAGAAGAAGTGAAAGAAGAAGAAGAAGAAGACGAAGAAGAAGAAGAAGAAGAAGAAGAAGAAGAAGAAGAAAGTCATGAGCAGGAGCAGCTAGGATATTAAAATAGTTAAGAAGGAGAGGGATATGTTTTTCATATCAAGAGAGGAGCGGACCTAAAATCTATTTCCGCCTCAAAGTTTTTTTTGAACATCTTCATGAATTTAATTCACAAGTTTACAGTTAATACTTTTTTTTTTTTATCATACATGCAGGTTATACATTTCTAACCACACTTTGATACCAGAAAATGCATGTACCTGCATCCGCATTATTGGTTCACTACCAGCATGTGTAGTTCGAATTTCCTGGAGGAAATATCATGGGGAGGATAATTACAAAGGGATGTGTATGAATTACTCATTATCAGAAGATCCAGCTGCCCGTGGCGTACCTTCAGTCCACCCGTTGAAGGGGTACTATATTGATCGGGGGTAGTAATCGGGGGAGGGGGACGTCCACGCCGGTCTCACTCAGAAAATTAAATGCGAAATAATATACAAGAGGAAAGGGTGCATGAGATTGGCCGTGTGTCTTCTTTTCTTGTTCTTCCCTTCTCTCTTTTTTCTTCTTCACAACTTTAAGTTTTACCTCCTTCCTTTTCTAGCCTTTGTTTTGCTTCACAACTTGAGGTTAGGGGGGGGGGGCATATATCCCCATGCGCCCTGTAGACCGACACTACCACCTGATGAGACTATACATTTCAAAGGTAACACTTAACTAAACAAGTATACCAGTGGAAATATACAATGTGCATATACGATCACCGGTCACGGGGAATGCCCCTGTTAGTTACATTGCGTAATGGGGGTCAACAAACTTTTCTCCGTTAGAGCAGTCGACAAACTTTTCCACTTTTTCCGGTAACTTCCCTACACGCCGAAGATGGCGTTTTTTTTAATATCAACGAACTCGAATGCCCAGAACGCGGGTCAATCGCGAACCGTTTTACGCGTTTCTTCCGGGTGTGTATGTGTACAGCAATATATCTCGAATCCCCGGATATCGATTTTCACCATCCTGGATCCGCTCCCCCCCTCCTTGTTGGCGCTAGCAACAAATCCCTTTTAGCCGCCATCATGACTATCACCACCACTTTACCCCATTTCCCAAGAACTTTCTCCGCCCCTATTTCACTGAACTTCAGAGCGGATGACATTGCTATTTTGAAAGTCACGAGCGTGGTTGTTTATGACCTTGAGGAGAACAAGTACATTGGCCCAACCACTTCCTAACAAGGATACACATTCGATAGGCGTTAATGTATAATTATAGAATATAGGCTACTTCGTTTGTATTCGCTGATCAGTGTCGAAAGTATAGATAACCAATGGGACAACTTTTCTTGTCATGCGCAAACTCAAAATATCTCTGTGACTTTATAGGTACTTTCGTAATGTAATCCTATGTTATGCACACAAAAATGTTCGTGTTTGTTAAATATCTCATTACAAATTATTTAATTGAAGGATTAGAGGGAGAATATCGGAGTGAGAGAGAGAGGAAGAGAGAGAGAGAGAGAAGGTGAGAATAGAGGGAGAGAGAGAGAGAGAGAGAGGGGGGAGAGTGTGAGATGTGAGTGAGAGGGAGAGAGAGAGAGGGAGAGAGACAGACGGACAGAGAGAAAACAGACACACAAAGAGACAGACAAAGAGACAGAAAGACAAAGAAAGGGGGAGAGAGAGGAGAAGAACAAAATGTAACTAGAGGAACACATTTTAAGCACGATCTTCTTTCTACCCATCACCAACCTGACCTAGATAGGGGTAACAACAGAGGGCGACAATCAAGAAAGACATCCGTGTTCCATTGGAAATAGGTAGAGCGGCATATCATGACTCTGCTACAGGCGGAGATTATGTTCTTTTGTCTTCATTTAGTTATTTTGCATCTACAAAATAAAATGTAACGTTAGTAATTACGCTTCCCATCTCCATTCGATCCCAAATTAGACATCACAATCTTAATTTAGTTAAATTGCCTTTATAAGCTAATTCCCAGCGAAGAACTGACGTACAAACTTTGCTCTTCGCATCAAGCTACAGTTTCTATAGTGATTCTGCGCTTCGCGCGGGAGGGGCGAAACAAGAATTACGAGTCGAGAACGGTACAACGGATCGTCTTCTTTCTCTAATAATTTAATGAAGTGTCAAAGCTTCCGCGCTTTGTGCGCGAGGGGAGTAAACTGAAAAATAACTTAGTTCCTGGCCCCGGGTTTATACGGTTAAATTTGTAGACATTGGCATTAATATATTTGTCGGTAATTGGTGGCTAGTTTTGTCGGTAATCGGTGGCCTCTACCCACCCCCCCCCCTTTCCCCACTGAAAAAGGTCTAGCGACGCCTCTGATAACAACACAGTCGAGATAATTTTTGCAAGTACTACTGGTGAAGCACCAGACCACCGTCTTTGTGCATTGTGCAGCAACGAAGCATATACAACGTCTCACGACGTGACAGATCACATTTCTCTAACTTCTAACCAATCAGAAGGCCTCGTTTGTGTCAAGAAGTGCCGGTGGACATTAAGGGGGGGGGGGGGGGGGGTAGGGGGGTAGTGAGCACATTTTTTTTTTTTTTTTTTTTTGGGGGGGGGGCCTTGGAAATTTGAAAATTTGCATGGGCCGGGCCCCTCGGCCCCCCCCCCCCCAGTTCCGCCACTGCTATTTGTACACAAATTACACGGATGTCCGGCGCTAAAATTAAAACCCGAACCATAAACAGGGGGAATCAAACAATTAAGAGCCCTCCGCGGCGGCACTTTGCAAAATTACTCAATTTACATAATAACACATATTCAATACACTTCACATGTATATATTGTAGTTATGTGAACCATAACCATTTTCGAGCTCATTATAGTGACGGACGGAAAAGGAAGACGGCAATCATTTTGTTTGGCGAATTGAATTAAGCTTTTCTATCTGTAAACTGATCAATAATGACTGAAACTCTACCTTAACCCTGAGCATTTGTTTATCTCCTCATCACTTTATCAGATCATGGAGATGATGCTATTTTTTGGCGTCGTCCTTATTGGATGTTTTACATTATGCAGCGGATCAGTTTCAAGACAAATTTATTGTCTGTACCTGTAGCCTGTTATCAAGCTGTTTGGGCGTGTCTCATTAAAGGGGTCGAATATATAGAGTCTGCGGTTAAAGACTATTAACGACACAGAAAATGTGCATGCGTATAATTATGTTCGTTGGATAACTGGTATTCCCCATCGACAACAACAACTATTGTGAAATGCAGGTTTGTCGGCCATTATATATCGGGCAGATGTAGTAATACCTGTACATGTACTAGGCCTATATATAGTAGCTTTGTGTACCGGTAGCATTTTCCCGCCATTTATGGTAACGGATGGATCCGGAGAACGGCAATCATTAATTTTGTTAGGCGGAATAAATCAAGTCTTTCTATCTGTAAATTGATCAATAATGCCTGAAAATCTACATTAATATTGTGCATTCGTTAATTTTTTTCTCGCATCGATTCCTCATCACTTACTTATCAGATCATGATCATGGAGACGATGCTATTTTGGGGCATCGTGCTTATTGGATGTTTTTCATCATGCAGCGGATCAGTTTCAAGCACATCGCGATTTTGTGTGATCGCAAATCGAGTGGGGAGCAGTGGGGTTGGAAGCCAACGCCTGCTTGCTTTCAGATCAAATGCTACAGCTTCTCCAGTTTCCGTGGAAGTGAGCTACGGAGATGTGGACCCCTCCTCGGCTGGGTGGAGCCCGTGGAAGAATCTTGGAGCTCCGTTGGCCAGTCCGCCGCTGTCCAACCCTGTATGTGAAATGACAGAACGAAATCAAACCCAGGTTTGTCTCTTTTATTACTTTTTTCAATTATTGAATAATAATTTTCTATCATGAAGCAGGTGAAGAAGTGGGGGGGGGGGGGGGGGGGGTCACAAGTTTTTTGTCTTTTTCTTTTTCTCCTCCTTCTAAATAGCTTCTCCGTCTTCAAGTTCTCATTTCCTTGAGACTTTAGCGCTAATAACGCATTTGTAAAACATGAGAGGTTCGATCAACAGCTTGTTCATGGTGTTATTTTTCTAATATTATTCTCGTGATGAAAGTGTAATGATGATTATGATCATTATTATTATAATTTTCAAAGCCTGCACCGTTTCCGCTGGCTCGAGAAATTGATGATTTAGAGAATCAAAGGCTTTTTTGAAATCGAGACTTAATAAAATACCCCCGATTTGTTTTAACCTAGAGTAAAACATAGTCTCGATCACTGTTCTCACAGATTCTCCGATGTATCTATTTTTAACAAAGGCGACTTGGTCTGGGTGAATTATTGATGATAAAATATTTTAAAGTCTCCGCGCTAAGGCTTTAGAACCAATCTTAAAGCTTATCTGCCGTAGTTTACTGGATGGATTAGACTGCCCTGCAAAGTCACTGGACAGGTGGTTATCTCATCAACTCAGCTCTCAGTTAACATAAGAAAAAGAGGATCATGGGGGACCAATGGTCACCGATTAGGCATTGTTTGTTACATAGAGGGCGCTAGTAGCTACAAGTAGTGCAGTGGGCCTTTAATATCGGCGTTTAAGAGCGTTATGGGTCTATAATTTTCTATAAACATTTTACTCTTGCCGTATTTTGCTATTAGGGTTATTATGCCTTGTCTCTGCGATATGGGCAGCTTTCCTCGTCTAAAACTGAAATTTAGGGTGTCTACGAGCAACGGTCCCAATATGTTCCAAAATTTACAATAAAACTCGACGGTTATTCCGTCATTGCCGATTTGTTTTTAGCCATGGCTAATAAAGAAGCCGTACATTCAGCAAGGGATAATTCTTTTTCACGTGAATCTTGTTGGTTGGGAGATAATTTTGGTATGTTATTTTGCTCCAAAAAACTTACAGTTACTAAAACTCTTGGTTCTTCTGCTTTGTATAAGTCTGAGTAGAATTTGTTAATATGCGTATTTACTTTTAAACTGTCAGTTAGAATTTCATCTCAACTTTTTAACCTGTAAATGGTTGATCGAGTTTTGTTTGCCTTTTCCAGGTTTAAAAAGAACTTACTGTTTTTCTCTCCGTACTCGCCCCAGTTGGCCCGGGACCGAACTATTATGCCATGAGTAATACGATCCATGTGTGTTTCGTAATCTAACTTAATCTTTTACTATCCACTATGGTCTAATGATCATTTCATCATAAATCATGATAATCATCAAATGGTTATTTGAACTTACAGATAGTACACGTACTGGAGAAAAGACCAACTGGCTATTGGCCTAAATTGTCATTAGACCAGAATGTTAAGTAGACACAATCATTGTTAGACCATGAGGATAGTAGAAAGTAAACCAAACGGCAATTTACCAAGCATTTAAATCATGAAAATATATAACTTGCCATGGATGACTCATGAGAGGTAACAAAACATTTATTTCCAATGTTTGGAATCCAAACAAATATGTAGTTAATTCATAAAGCTATCAAATACTTGATTAAAAATGGTTGTCATGTAATAAAAACATTAAACCAAATTTAAAAACAATAAATAGATAAAAGATATAAATTAATGTTTAAACAAAATTGATATAAACAGAATAATAGGAAAGAACTTATCTAACATTATTAGTTGTAGCAATATTTACATGTTCATTCTGGAACTTATTTCTAGATACGGTGTGAACTTAATTTGAAATGTGAAACAAAAATCAACAAAAAAGAGTTCTAAAATACATTATATATATATATATATATATATATATATACCCTGATAATATGTTTTCCTGATTGTTCCCGAGCGCTTGAGGGTGGCAAATTTATACCGTCCATTCTTGTTTAAAGGTACTATGTCCCATTTGCAGGCCAAAAAATTGAAAAGGTTAAATTCCAACAGCATTTGAAAGATAATACTAACTTAGAATTTCCCTTAAAAAGAGGGAGCTTGAACATGTCTTTAAGTGGAAAAATAACGACTATTAGTTGTCGAATCGACTTAAGAGCTATAGAGCCAGTAAGTAATATTCTGATTTTCAGACCATTGTACGGAATGGTCGTATGTTTTATGCACACAGATTCAATCAGTTTAATTTTGGCAATTACAAGAACTGGGTTATTGGTGTAGAGTGTAGACAAATGCTCATGTACCCTTTACAGCTCATTTTATGTATGTTATTACCAAAAAGCCAGTCAGTCACTCAATAGTGTCTGACAGTGAAGTCTAGCAAGTAACCGGTTTCCTTGCATAATTTGAATACTAGGACATTGCTAACGTTTAAATGTCACAGATAGGACATACATGACATATTCATAATTCCTTCAAAGTTCTACAGAATTTGATGTTGGCTGCAAAAGGTACATAGTATCTTTAATACACGAATATTAATGTCTTGCACACAAATAAATAATGCCTATTTAATGATCTATATCTGAATTATATTGTATGTACATCGAGCGAAACAATTTGTATTGACTTTTGATCAAGTCAGCTTTTCAAGTTCACTGCTCCCAACCAAATCCAAGATTTGTGTTTAATTATCTCCGACTGTATTGAACTGAAAGGCCGTCGAAAGTTTGAATCACATAAATCATCAAGTAAACTTATATTTATATTTTTACAATAATTTATTGTCACAGTTCCGAATTCAGTGATGTATATGGGACAAAGATTTATACCCATACCTTATAAATCGGGTAATAAAATGCCCTCGCACTATCATTATTCTAATGTAGATCTTTGTGCAAGCATCCGATGGGCAGGTCTACTCGGTTATTCAAGACACCCTTAATTTTTTGAACTTCTCCTCGTGGAAGAAAGTCGGTTCCAACTCCATCCCGGTCATCTTGCCCAAGCGATCCACGCTCGTAGATTCCGTATCTGCAGTCTGGTATCACAAGCAACTCATGGTTTTTGCTCGCTCGATCAGTACTACTACTTCAAGGCTGTATTGGTGTAAAGGTATGTACATTGAATAGAGAATGAGTAACCTTATAATGATAACAATAACGATGATGTTGATGATGATGATGATGATTATGATGATGATGATGATGATGATGATGGTATTGATAATACTTATGATCGTAATAATGATAATAATAATAATAGTAAGGACAATAATGGTAATAATAACAACAACATTAATAATCACATACAGTAGGCTGACAGTTGCACCATGTAGGAGAGGGGAAAGATTGGGCATTTGGGGGAGTCCTGAAAAGGACTGTCGGTACATTTTCTTTCCTGAGTGTTTGTGTAGGACTGTTGGTAGTCCTGAAAAGTTCGTATATGCTATTTATTGGTATCCCTACCATTATTCCGATTCCAAGCGGTAACACATTCGTTTAACAGTTGATTACGCTCGGTTGATTCAATTGTTCGGATTATTTAGCAGAGAGAGAGAGAAGTGAATATTCTCATGACTAACAACCATATAGTATTGTTTTTATTTGTTCATCATTTCTACAATGCTATGTGAACAGTATTTGATGACAACAGAGGGCACTCTCATTTAGCGTCATGTACGAGGCAATAACAGGCTGATAAATGATCATTAGTACCGGGTCTACCGTCTAAATCTAAAGAAAACTGAATATGAACCCGGGCCACATTCTCTCTCTCTCTCTCTCTCTCTCTCTCTCTCTTTATCTCTCTCTTGTCATTGCCTTCCTCCCCCTTCGCTTACTTCCATCTTTAATACTACGGAGTATGTAATGTGTACGTGTATGCCTCAATCACAGATAATATAATCACTAATATCACCGAAATGATTCTTCTCCTTCCCCTTCATCTTCTTCATCCTAGTAATTGCAGCAGTATCATAATGATCATCATATCCCTTCTATGAATATTCATGACTTTTCTAAATACATGATTGGTCAATTGGTGGTCACGTAATAAAACATAATTTCACTATTAAAAACCTATGAAATCCTGTTCAGTGATTGGTCAACATAGCATCACATGACCAAACATAACATTGCTATGATGTAACCGTGACGTCATCCATGGTATAGTGCAAACTATACCATGGATGACGTCATATAGATCGATCAAGATCAATGTGCTATCGGTCGCGGTCGCGGTACTGTCGTTTGTGCTGCTCCCACTGCACTCTACACTACTTCAGTGACAGTTAACATAATTATTATCATTAATATTTTTATGAAGGTTGGTGTAATATCCCGCAGGTATATACTGCCAGCTACGGCAGGGAGTACACACAGACATGCACGGAATGTAAGTGCTCGAAACGGAACGTCAAGATGTTGAATAAATAAACTCACTTCCTAAATACCCTAGTTCAAGATGTATCTTTGTTAACTACATAAAGATAGAGATTTTACAATGGCGACGAGACGGGATCCACTTTGTGCTCTACTGTTCGACAAAAAAGTGAACTTTTGACTTTTTTTCCACAGACGGTACGTACACGTACGTGTGATGGTGACTGAGTGTGTACCGAGTAACTTTTGTGCCCCACGTATTGACATTCATGTGATCCAGTGAATAGCCCAATATGTCTATGCCCATTCTACCACCGTTTGACCCTCACGGGGACAGTGCATCTTTGAGTCAGAGATGGGAACAGTATATAAAAAGATTTGAAGGAGCCATGGTTGGGTTCAATATCATCGGACCAAAACGAAAACGGGCCCTTCTGTTGCACTATGGAGGTGAACAGCTCCAGAATGTGTTCGACACCCTACCTGATACAGGGACTGACAATGATTATGAAAGGGCATGTGATGCTCTTAAAGCCCACTTCGTGCCGAAGAAGAACATCATTTACGAGACGATTTTGTTTCGTAGACTCACCCAAGAAGCTGATGAAAACGTTGCACAATTCTGCACCAGATTACGGAAGGAAGCGGAAAAGTGTCAGTTCACAGAGGTGGAACGTGAATTAGTCACTCAGATTATCACCGGCTGTCGGTCAGGACAGTTACGTAGACGCGCCCTTGAGAAACAGACATCTCTCGACACACTTATAGAGCTAGCTCGATCACTTGAGTTATCACATGAGCGGGCGGATGGAGTCGAAGCAGACAAGGTTACACAATTCCATCGCGTTTCTTCACAACAGAAAGGGCGTGCACGTCCCAACCAGAAATCTTCACAGTGTGGAAATTGTGGCTATGGCTATCCTCACACTGGAGACTGCCCTGCAAAGGGCAAACGCTGCAACACCTGTAATAAAATGAACCACTTTGCATCAGTTTGCCGCAATGGCAAACCAGTCAAGTCTGTCAGCGATGATAATGCCACATCACTCCCAAGTGCAGACACCTCGCAGAACCCTGTTGACACGATCCATGAGTATATGTTCGCAGTGTCAAACACCAAGCCGCCAACACATGTAGGTATAACCATCGATGGCATACGCTGTTCTATGATTATCGACTCGGGATGTTCGCGAAACATCATCGATGAGCCTACCTACAAGAAACTGAACGTGAGCCTTAAGAAATCTTCTATCCGCCTCTTCCCGTATGGTTCGAAAACACCCTTGAGTGTCCTAGGTGTGTTTACCGGTAGCCTCGAGTCACAGAGAAAAACCACTGCTGCAGAAATATATGTGGTGAAGGGCTCATATGGATGTCTTCTTGGGCGTAGCACTGCTGAAGATCTCAATTTGATCATCATCAACGACACCGCCAATGCTGTCAATGCAGAAAATGACTATACATCTGCATACCCAAACCTATGGTCGGGGGTTGGGAAGCTGAAAGACAAGAAGGTGAAACTCCATATTGACACCTCAGTTCCTCCAGTCGCACAACGGTTTCGCAGTACACCATTTCATCTGCGAAAACAGATTGAGAAACAGCTTGCTGAGCTACAGGACGCCGACATAATCGAGGATGCTACTGGGCCGACTCCGTTCCCAAGCCAAATGATCCACAGAATGTTCGGATTTGTGTGGACATGAGGGCGGCTAATAAGGCTGTCATCAGAGAGCGTCATCCTACACCTACAATGGATGAAATCATCACTGAGTTGAACGGGTCCAAGGTATTTTCTAAGTTGGATCTGAAATCTGGATACCATCAGCTCGAGCTTGAACCTGAGAGCAGATACATAACCACGTTTGCAACGCATGTTGGACTGAAGCGCTACAAGAGGCTGAATTTTGGCATATCCTCTGCGAGTGAAGTTTTTCAGAACGCCATTCGTCAGACATTAGAAGGCATACCAGGAGTCCTCAATGTGTCTGATGATATTCTTGTACATGCACCTGATGAAGCGTCACACAATGAGAGGCTGAATACACTCTTTCAACGTCTGCAAGAGCAAGGACTGACCCTGAACACGCGGAAATGCCAATTCAACAAGACAACGATTTCTTTCTTTGGCCTTGTATTCTCAGCAGAAGGAGCGTCGCCTGATCCTGATAAGGTTGACGCTATCCACCAGGCTGCACGTCCGCAAAATGCCCAGGAAGTGAGAAGTCTTCTTGGCATGGCCAGTTATAGCTCGCGTTTTATTCCCAATCTCGCGACAATCACTGCACCTCTCCGTAGCCTCATGACAAAAGGAGTGAAATTTGAATGGAATCAAGAGCATGAAGCAGCGTTGAAAGCGTTGAAGGATTCCATATCAAAAAGTGCAGTATCATCATACTTTGACACAGCCAAGCGTACAATTCTGTATGTGGACGCCAGCCCAGTGGGACTGGGAGCCATGTTGACCCAAGAGGGAAGTACAATCATATATGCTAGTCGTTCCCTTACACCAACAGAACAAAGATACAGCCAGATAGAGAGAGAAGCTCTTGGTATTGCTTGGGGTGTTCATCGTCTTCACACATATCTTTTTGGTCGGAACTTCACGGTGGTCACCGACCACAAGCCTCTGATCCCTATCTTTGGAAAGCCAAAGATTGTACCATCAGCACGCATTGCAAACTGGATGTTGAAACTCCAGCACTACGACATGGATGTAATCCACGCCCCTGGAAAGACAAACCCAGCTGACTACATTTCACGGCATCCCTGTAGTGATAGCGCTAGTACACCAATGCCAGATGTCGAAGCCTACATCAACTTTGTGGCTCATCATGCAGCTCCAAAAACCGCCAGTCTCGACGACATACGATCAGAAACAGCCCGCGATTCTGCATTACAAGCTACGATCGAAGCCTATCGCAGTGGAAAATGGGAGAATCTCAAAGGCTCTCATCGCGCTATGTGGAATGTTCGCAATGAAATTGCAGTCACTGAAGATGATATTGTGCTGAGGGATAAGCGTATTGTGATACCAGAAGCCCTTCATAAGCGTATCATCGATATCGCACACGAGAGTCACCCAGGTATTGTGCGTACGAAAGCATTGCTCCGCTCAAAGGTTTGGTTTGAATCGCTTGATAGTAAAGTGGAATCACTTGTGAAAGATTGCCCTGTATGCCAAACCGTACGCGATATCCGTACGCCTCTGGAGCCCCTCAAGATGTCACAAATGCCACCCGGTCCTTGGCAGAATTTAAGCATCGATTTCTGTGGTCCGTTACCAACAGGAGAGTATTTGATGGTACTCATTGATGAGTTTTCGAGATACCCAGTTGTAGAGGTTGTAGGTTCAGTGTCCGCTAGAGCTGTGATACCCGTTCTTGATAAAGTGTTGTCTGTATTTGGATTTCCGAAAGTCCTAAAGAGCGATAATGGAAGCCCATTCAATTCGAGTTCATTCGCCGATTACGCGTCTCACTGCGGATTTCAGCATCGTCGAATCACTCCTCACTGGCCTAGAGCTAATGCTCAAGCAGAAGCATTTAACAAACCACTCATCACAGCCGTGCGCGCTGCACACCTCGAAGGAAAGAATTGGAAACAACAGCTGTACATATACCTACGACAATATCGTGCCACACCACACTCTTCAACGCGAGTAAGCCCATTTCGATTGATGTTTAATCGAGAACCGGTTACGCGCCTCCCAGAAGTAGATGTTGCACATGACAACACATCATCAATGGTCAACGATGAAATTGCTGCCAGTCACTCGAAAGCGATAGCGAATGATCATGTAGCGAAAGCAAAGCAAAAATCCTACGCTGACAAGCGACTGCACACAGTGAAATGCGACTTCAAAGTAGGTGACAAAGTGATAGTGCGTAATGATGCACGAGGTGATAAATTCACACCCCCGTATAATCCTACCCCTCTAGTGATTATCAAGAGGAAGGGTAACATGATCACTGCTAAATGTCAATCAACATCATGGTGCGTCACACGCAATGTATCCTTCTTTAAGCGATCGCCTTCACAGTCACAGCTTACTCAACAGACGGACAAGTCAGAACAAAGTGACAAAAACTCAGAAACTGTGGTCCCAAACCGCACCAGAAGGCCACCAGCCTATCTAAAGGACTACAAAACCTAAACTGAATACTAAAACCATTGAAGAAGAACTTTTGTAACCAATGTTTAAAGTTGTTTTGTGAAATGCTAAGATGCTTTTGTTCATATCCTAAGGGATATTGCATTTATGTTTCATTATTCTGTTGTTATTAATCACACATGCAAGAAGATGTGTTTATTCATGTTCATTCATTTTGAGGGAAAGAATTCCTGTCATTTTGAGAGTTTAGTGTTCCATACAATACATGTACCAAAACAGTGTTTGTGTATTTGATACATTATGTTCATTTAAGCTAAAGAAAAGGAGGAAGAAATATGCTTTCTATGTTTGAAATACAGTCAGTCATTTTGAAACGGTATGATCTCTTATTAATTGATCTGTTTGTAACCATGGTAATACTCAATTTGTGAAGATATATGTACCAAATACATGTACCTGGAAAAAACATTTTTCAACCTGATATACATAGTTCTGTACACTGATCATGCATGTACTTCTTTGAAGAAAAACAATTATAGTGAAATTTTGTATTTGAAAGAAAGATACAAACACACTAAACCTTTATATTGATATTTTCATTTTGTTACTCTTGAAAGTGTCAAGAGAAAATACATGTATGTGTAACAAGTTTATTGTTTTATGATTATGAAACAAATCTAAAGAAAAGGAGGGATGTAATATCCCGCAGGTATATACTGCCAGCTACGGCAGGGAGTACACACAGACATGCACGGAATGTAAGTGCTCGAAACGGAACGTCAAGATGTTGAATAAATAAACTCACTTCCTAAATACCCTAGTTCAAGATGTATCTTTGTTAACTACATAAAGATAGAGATTTTACAGTTGGTTTGAAAAATACAAAACAAATATATCAGAACTGCCCATGCTCTATGAGATTTTCAGGTAGATAAGCATTGTGACATCACATCATGTTCAGTCAAAAGTAATGAGCAATGACAATGACAATGACAATTTATTCTCATGTCACCCTCATTGGGGTATTGGAGAAGTTTACAATCAGTTTGAATTTGTCAATTTAACTCTGTGAATTATACAATACAAATAGAATTAATGTTAATCCATACAAAATAACACTATCGACAATAGTGAGAAAAATTATGATGATAATGACAATAACAATATTGATGATGATGATAATAATAATAATAATCAAAAACGATAATTAATGACGAAATTAATGGAAGCAATTGAAAAAGAAATTTACTGGCACCAGTAAACTGATATCTGAATTAATGAATTACTGAAAATATTCTTGATATCAATTTAATAAATTAATATAAGACAAGAAAGAGAAACATCAAGTTAATTTTGAACTCATAACATGTTTTGGGCACATACTTAAATAAATGAAAACGAAGCATTATTTTTCGACAGAATTTTACTAAGTTTAAACGTGTTTGTACATCAGCTGATCCATTTTCAGTGTATTTGGTCTTTCAATAAAATATTTATCGATAAACAATTTTCTGTCTGAACGAAAGGTAGGGCATACAAACAAGTAATAAAAACTCATCCCCAAGCGATCGCAAATTGCACAGCGTATAATGATAACTATAATGATCTGTCTGGTTGCCTGACAAGTAGTAGGTGGTGGACGTGAGCCCTGGGCTGTTATAATGAAAAGGAATCAAGACAAATAGGCCTATTGACTTTCAACAACATGAAGCTAATAGTAAGCATATAATTACTTCAGATATCGGTTTGATTTTGATTCTATTTTGAGCCATTTCAATTAACAAAATATTTTTGTTATTGTATTTTTTGATTACCTCAAAATGCCGTCAATTATATAACACAAAATTATAATATGTATTTGCTATGAGGTCATTTTTTCATAACGCCATTCGCCCCCTTTTCGTTCTTATAATTTCTTGAATTTATGCAAGCATATTCTGGGTGGCCAAACGCAGGGTATCTCGAAGCCGGATTTTGAAAATCTGTCAAGGCGGGCATATTTGACACCATTTTATACCCTGCATGGTTATATCAGTATGGACGGCCATGTGGGCCACGGCACGCTTCAAGACATCTTCTTCTTTCATCAAATCTGATATGTTATGCACGCAGTGCTTGTGAGCCCTATATACACTATGAACATGACGGACAAAGAAAGAGGACAAAATATACAGTTCCTCAGGTAGACAAAGGAGCATCCCTTCACTGCTATTATGTAAAAATTAGTAAAACAGGTGAATATGCATGTGACACCTGGTCTACACATTTATATATAATAGCAGTGAAGGGATGTTTCTTTGTCTACCTGAAGAACTGTATATTTTGTCCTCTTTCTTTGTCCGTCATGTTCATAGTGATAGGTCGATTCCGTTATCCAGATACCTTACACAATTCGTAGGCATAATTTCTAGTATCCCATCAAGGTCACAGACATCTTCGTTTTCCGAAATTGCTCATGCGTGACCGTCCAGGCGCCATTTTGTCCTTTGAGGCAGTTATTAAAGCCTTTCTTCCCGCCCACCTATCTTCACTCTCCTACATGCTACAGACTTCTAACAAATTCCTCTGGATAGTCCAAGAGAGGCTCTTTCGTCTGTCACGTAAAAACACCGGCGCCAATGCATGAATAACGTTCTAATAGGATTGCAGTTCAAGTTTCTGATCTTTTTGATTATTTCTGCATATATTGTAGTTTTTAACTAATGTGAAATAAATGTATTTGAAATTTCAATTTGAATAGGCACTTCAACCAGCTGTACTTGGGGTCTTGTTGCTGGTACTGCGCTCATTGGAACAGATGCTACGCTGATCAAGAATCCTTTCACGGCCAAGTATGAAGGATTCGTGATATCTCCTAAAGGGAAGATGTACCGGACATGGCAGCACGCCAGTGGCAACAGCTTTAAAGCCTGGAAAGCAATGGCTTGTAAGATTTTGTTTATTGTGAATCATCCCCCCCCGGGGGGGGGGGGGGGGCGCAGTCAAATACATTGCTATACACACGCGGGCCTCCAGAAACGTGTAAAAAGGGTGGTTTCTGGTCGTTAAGGCGGGTGCATTCATGGCGTCAAATGGTCAAAACATCAGGGAGAAGGATGTTTGTTGACTGACTTAGTATACAAATAATACACATCAATGAGGGCATTTTAAAGTAAGTATTACCCACACAAGGTACCCTTTGAACAGTCTAACACGCCCGAGGCGCTAGCCGAGGGTGTTTAATTGGACTGCTTCGAAGATACCGACTGTGGGTAATTTTATTAATGCCCGAACACAACGATGTTTATTATTGGTTTTATAAGATAATGTTTTATTTGTTTTATGAAATGATGTTTTATAACATGATTTTACAAATGACCGTTCATAAATATTTACTAATGACCGGTCATTAGTAAAATTACGTGTTAGGCAAAATAAATGCCTGGTCACGTTTAGGCTCTTAACCAATCATTTGATTAGGATCCGCTTCATCATCTTATAATAACAACTAATGTTTGCAAAGTGGATTTAAACCCTTAGAGATACTGTGATGCATAGCAGGTGAATTAAATGTACACAAGTTAGAAGCACATTGCTTGAAATACATTAGTAGATCGGTCTATTCAAAGCCATACTGTACTAGAAGCACCAACGCAAAATTCCCTCTAGTGCCATCTCAGGTCAGCTGTAGCAGTATGGTCCCGGCACTCACTTATTTCCTGCATGGCTGCACTGTTGTTTCTCGCGTCGGTTGACCATGAGATGGCGTTGTGAAATAGACAGTACGCTAGGGCTGAAAGTTCAGCTGTTCAGTATCGCTTGAAACAAGAACCTAACCCTTATTTTCTTTTCAGCTTCACCTACCTTCTCTGTTGTCTCCAGACCTGTCGCTCAAGTAATGGGCTACAACATTTTTAACGGCAAGATCATGATTGGGGGAATCGGAGTGGATAACTACGTACACAGGTGAGCCTTTCTGCTAGCATTGTCCTCTTACATCTTACTACCTTTTCTCTCTATTTTGGTAAGATTGCTCAGTGAGGCGCTTGTAGATTGTTCCTCTGTGGCAAAACTATTATTGTAAATGATCAAATTCAGGACTATATTATTAAAGATGGATGCACATGTTCACATTCATCTCGTTCCAATCTTCACTGTTATAAGGACCTTTTCTGCTTCCATGTACCATTTCATGAAAACTTTTTGCAAAGCTGGGTATCGCATATTTACTGGAACTGCATCTAAAGAATGAAACAATATCCCATCTTTCATCAAATCAGCTAATTCCACAAAGAAATTTAAATTTCTTGAAAACAAGGAGATGTGGGTTGATCTAGCGCCACGTTCACTTGATCAGCTCTCTGTCTTCGCCTGGCTCAGGCGACCCCGGTTCGAAACTGAGTCGCGTCTTTTGGATGGTGACGTGAAATGTCGGTCCCAGACGTTAATAATCATATCTGATTGATACACGACTGGAAATAACAAATTACGTCCAAGAAGACTTAAACCTCCTTTCATTTCATTTCTTTTATTTGAACTTTTTTAAAGTTTGAGTTCCATATCATACATTATATATTTTGTAATTACACGCTGTGATGTGGTTGTTCCAGGTGCGCCCAGGCTACCTGTGACATAGTGGACAATCCTTGGAGTTACTGCACGTGGGGAAACTGGCATCAGACTGGTGGGAAGATTCCATTTGACAATGGAGGGATGCAAAACAACTTGGTCATGAGCAGGAATGTACACTTTGGGGTTGAGATCTTTGCAGTCCAAGAAACGAGTGGGCAGTGAGTATATCCAGAGACCTGTGATTTTCTGATTATTTGTATAATAGAAAACAATATGTGGTGGTCGATGGTGTCGAATCTGATTATATGGATGTAAATACCGGAGTTCCACAAGGATCGGTTCTCGGACCACTTTTATTTATCATATATATTAATGATATAATCAGTTCATCCAAATTACTTATGTTTTCATTATTTGCTGATGATACGGTTGTATATTATTCTCATTCTAATGTAGCACGCTTAGTTTCTATTTTAAATGAAGAGTTAATAAAATTGAATGATTGGTTTAAATGTAATAAATTATTTTTGAATTATGAAAAAACAAAATATGTAATTTTTCACACAAAGAAAAAGAATGTTCCAAATGTCACCAATCCTGTTTAAATAGCGAATGTAACTATTGAACGAGAACTAAGTGTTATTTTTTTAGGTACTAATATTGAAGAAACTCTAGATTGGAAATGTCATATTGATTATGTTTGTTCTAAAATTTCTAGAAGTATTGGTGTCTTATCTAGACTAAAGAATTTTCTCCCAAGGAACATATTAATGAATATTTACAATGCAACAATTCTTCCCCACTTAAATTATTGCAATATCATTTGGGGTAATACTTACAAAACAAAACTGTTTAAGATTTATATGTTACAGAAACGTGCATTTCGGTTAATAACAAATAGTCATTATATATCTCCAAGTTTACCATTATTTATTAAACTGAAAATTATTCCTGTATATGATTTGATCAAACTTAATACATGTATATTTATGTTTAAATTTCATAACAACCTGTTACCATCTGTTTTTAATAATATGTTCCACACAAATTCTTCTATTCACAATTACCCCACTCGTCAACGTCTAAATTTACATCACCCACTCTGTCGTTCAACTTCACTGTATAATTCTATATCATTTGTTGGGGTACGGGAGTGGAATTCCTTGAATTATGACCTAAGATCAAGTTCTACAATTACCAGATTTAAATCAATGTATAAACAAATATTTTTCAATCCATGGTTGAGTAAGTACTTCTCTTTCCCATCTTTTTTCTACTTTTATCTCTTTCTGCCCTATTTTCGCTTCCTTCTATTCTTTCTCTGTAACCTTCTTTATGAACGTGCGTGTGTGTTGATGTACGGGTGCGTACTTGTATTATTTAAGTCCTTTACTTTGTATTGTTAATTTATGTGCATTATCTTCTTATTGTTTGTTTGCAGGGCCCCGATTACAAGCAGATTTCTGCTTCTTAGGGGTCCTTACCATTATATTGTATATTGTATATTGTATTTTCATTGTAAATTGTTTTTATACTGGTTAAATAAATGAAATGAAATGAAATGAACCACGCGATGAAATATGTAATGACTATGATATTTGTCTTGAAAAAATAAAAATTTTAACTTTTATTTATTCAGTTGTAGGCCGGAAAACGGCACATGAGACCAATTTATTTAGTCAAATGTAATTAGCCCTCAAGACATGGATAGATTAGACTATTATCAGGCCACAATACCGACAGCACCTAAGAGACTAACATTTGTTTGGTCGAATGTACTCGACATTTCAACAACTTTAAGGCAAATGTACGCAAGGTCTCTTCCTTAACGTGCATCTTCATATAATCATCCGTTTTCGTTTCACGAAAGGTCGTGTAACGCGACCAACCGACTAGACGCGATGACCAGACGATTTGAAGGTAGCCCAATACACATCTGCTATAATGTGAAGTTCCCCACGAGAAACCATGATTGTTTGTCTTCATTTTGTAGATTATGGCAAACTTGGCAGCCCGCGAGAGATACATCTTGGAATGTCTGGAGAAAGATTCCCCAAAACCTGACGGGGGCAGCGTTCATCAATAACCCTTTCATCCGTCTCAACGAAGCTGGCTGGTGGATAGCATATGGTCTCAATTACAAACATCAGGTGATTATTTTATCATGCAAGATTGTATAGTGATCATTGGACATTGACTAACATTGGTTACATTTCATTAGAGTCTGTTCTTGATACGAGATGTAACTTGATCATGTGAGAGATGGGACCAGTTGTATGATACTTGCTCTTGTTGCTCCGCGTCAATTTGTTATGTTAAGCAACTTCCTAATTTCAACCCTGGACCCAACACTTAACCCTAACTAGAACCCTAAAGTCCTTTTGCAACCTAAGCTTGGAGGGATTCCTGCGTGCTGTATGTAAGGTGAGAGCTGTTTGACATAGCTGTTGGTCTACCAAACAGAGGGCCATATATTGCAATCGCAATCAACAGTGTGTCTCTGAGGCCCATCTTGTCTCCTGATATGACAAACTCCATAAACAAATCTAAGAGTGAATGAAAAATACAATACGAATCGGTATCCATTTGAGGAGATAAATTAAGCCAATACATTCGAACCTTTGGAGTGTTTCTCTCCTCTTTTAACTCATTCTGACCATTCCTTACAGGTTGTTCCGGTTGAGGCTTCACATTCCATGGACATCAGTCCAAAGAAGGTAGCCTGGTCCAAGAACATGGTCGTGTCCTGGTCCATCTCTAGTAACCAGGCTTCAAAAATGGACTGGATTGGTGTCTACCCCAAGGGATTAAACAACGATCAGTACCTAGACTACAGGTAGGCCTGAAAGCTCTAACTAGACGATTAGTTTGCTGGTATACATCAATCTTGTTCGTCGCTGTGTATAACAATGTCTTATGGATATTTATGTGGTTTAATATTCTTTATCCGACTGCTAAGAAAGCATAAATGCTTGTTAGTAAGCAACCAGAGGACCGACGGCTTCATGTCATCTCCGAGGGACCTGGTAATGAGGATTGATGCTTTACCAAAGGGCACTAGCGCATCGACTGGTTTTCGAACCCGGGTCGCCGGATTGCAATACCACTGCTCTACGAACTGAGCTATGACGCCTCCAAGACTGTGAGAGACTAGGTTGACAGAAGAAACTGACAGAGTTAAGCTCTGCTCAAGCCAAATTTTGTGTGTTATGTCCCTTAATATAGAAGGTAACTTTAAAAATCGTCCATTTTGGGATAAATTTGCAAATTTCTGGAGTTTTTCACTTTTCTTGATGAGTGGTCTACATAATGTTTCACCGTTCTTGAGTTTTCCATCTCTCATGAGTGGTCTTTATAAAACAGGTTTCTTTTTCATTATTCTCCAGGTATGTCCAGGGTGGCCTGAATCCTGGAAAGAACCCAGTCAACATAGGGAAGGTGTCCATGGCCTCCTACCTTCCGAACGGGGCTTATCAGGTTCGCTACCTGGTTAACAGTCAATTCATCAGCATTATGGAAATGGGTACGTTAAAGGCTCGTTTGTATGATGCTATTCCCCATATTTTGTATTAATGACATTGGAAGTTTTTTTCTTTTTCTTGGACACACCTGTTAAAAAGAAGTTCCTTATATTAACATAATGTAATTTCAATAAATGACGATTATGCATATATTACATGAGGATTTCTAGCAATGTTTTACATACCTAAAGAAGAAAAGTGCAATTTTTGTAAAATATAATATGTTCAAAACAGATAGAGAAAATTGAGGCAATGACATCATCAACTCGCTAATTTTGATACAGGCTATGTGGTACAGCAGGGACCCGTTTCACAAAGCCTTTTTTCAATGACAAATGACCTAAATCTGTGACAAATCTGCTGATAACCAATCAGAAGCAAGGATTTCAGTAGCTTATAACAAAGACTGTCACTTGTCACTTATGACAAGTTCTGGGAAACGCCCACCTGGTCTCAGCTGATCGGGCGCTTGACACGGGAATAGTCCCAGGCAGTGGACTAAAATTAAAGGGTTATGTGTATTCTTGATCTAGCATTTGCTCCTTACATAGTTGTTTACACTGAAATTCACCGTAAATCATCAGGAATGCCAAATGATCTTGCATTATGTACTTTTATCTTTGTCTACAAGCTAGAAGGACATATTAACCCGATGACTACTGAATTTTCTTTTTCCCATAGAGTTAACACAGGGACTACCCCGTTCATTTCGCTAATAACTTAATAACATATTTCATGCCAATTTCCACATTGCTACCCAAACTATACTTGTCTGGATCAGATGTAACCTTCTACAACGAATCCCACGAGTCGAAAAAGATGCAACTTTACCGAGGTATATACACCGGTCTGGATGTTCCTACGGATAACATTGATGCATGTATAAATGAGACTCTAGAGACTGTCCAGACGTTTGAAGAGTGCTTCCATGCGTTCAAGATGGGAAAGGTAATTACTAACGACTGTTCCCTCGGTGTTTGGAACGTCACCTTCATTAGAATTACAGAGAATTATCGTACATGGTACGTGCACTAGAAAAGATCGGGCCCAACACATGAAATCTGCAATTGCAATAAAATGATTGACACAATGTCATTGGATTTTAATTTATTGAGTGGACAATGTATTCCTAAATGACATGACACCGAGATCATACGTTTTGGGTAAGGCGTTTTGATTCTACGGTTATTTCTGTAAGGCAATGTTGTTATCAAGATTTGCAACATTGCTTGAAGTAGCAAGAAATGTTTGAATGACGGCTGAATTCCCATACACCCAGCATAGTGGTTGACGAGAGAATTCATTCACTTTATTGTTGTTGTTGTTATTATCATTATAATTGTTGTTGTTGTTGTTAGTGTGTTTACATTTTTATGCCTTTGTTTATGTTTATGTCTTTTTTCCCTAGGTGTTCCAAGGTCTACAACTCCTCGGCATAGCCCTTGAAGATGTTGCCAAGACTCTGACAAAATGTGATCTATTGTGGATCGCTCAGAAACTCCTGGGCTATATCACTGATCTCCTTAAGTGCATTCGGGGTAATTGTCTTAGTTTTGTCTTCGACTTTATTAAGGAGCTCCGGATTCTGTTTTTGAATAGGTATGAGATCTACGGGGATATCAGGGGTGCCGAGAATAGCTTTCAGCAAAAAGCTTATCAGCAAGGAGGGCTTTGTATCGGTAGATTTGTCAAGGCTTGTCTTCTGGTACAGGACTCCATGATGGTTAATGGTAGCTGGGACTCCAGGAAGGATGTTAAACTGAATGGCACCATTAGTGGAGAAGGGGTGAAGGTGATTGGAACCGGTAGAATGAATTGGGTGACTGGCACTCAGGCTGGCAGCAAGGAGGTTGTGAAGATGATTGGGAACAATAGTAGGGATGCCATCGTTAGTAGTGAGAATATGAAGCCGATCGGATCTGGTAGTAAGATGGGGGTGGAGCTGATTGAAAGTGGTAGAAAGGCAGGGGCGAATGTGATTGAAACTGGTAGAAAAGAGGGGGTAAATTAATTTAAAACTGGCGGAAAGGAGGAGTGGAACCTGATCCGTAGTATCCGTAATGTTGTGTTTTATGGAAAAGTTCATAGAAATCAATTTTTGGTCATTAAGATAGTCTTGCCAATTTAGCTGAAATAATAGTATCATAGAAGAGAAGACACATGGGGCAATATCTCTGTATAGGCATTTTCTTTTATGTACATATAGATGGACATGAACATATAATGAATGTAGATGTATTAATGCTGGTTCAGATTTGACGTTGCAAAACCACAGTAGGTTTTTTTGTATGATGACGTAAAGTGCAACACACTTTACATTACTCTATCTTATGACATTAAAAAATCCTCTGTGTGCTCATGCCATTATAATGCATGGCCGTCTAGAGGATTTTTTTATGTTGGGGACCGGGTTAAAATGCAATAAATTATTGAAAATTTATTGCATTTTCTGTTTTTTAATTTATTTATGGAAACTGTCCCCTACCCTAGCCCCCGCTGCGTACAATCATGGTTCAGTGACAAATCAATAGCCTCGTAACTGTGAGGCCCCATGATCAAAACCGTGTCGATGTGCTATATTAGTGCTCTTTTGTGGGACATTAATCCTCATTACTGTCATTTATGACTTAAGGGCGTAGGTCCCCTATTTGATAAGCATAGTAGCATACACATGCTTTAGCAGTCACGCAAAAACGCACATTGGCAAACTTTTATAAAATACTTGACAGAATGATATTATCATAATCTAATTCCTCATATCCAAACTTAAGACAACTTTAAGAACAATCTTTTCAAACGCAGTGTAAAATTTGCAGAAATTTATATTTTTTTCTTCTTTCTTTTAATTTGCGGATCCAGAAGATCTTGTGAATCACAATGTCTACTCTCACATTTGAGATGAAATAAAATATTTATGAACGAAATCATTTCTCACGGTAAAAGAGGTTTAAAAGAATCACCCTTTCAATATACAGTCCGTCCCAGATAAAACGAAACCGAAAATTATCGATGTTTTATCATAACTTAATCACAATTATAATTGATAAAATGACACATGTTTGGAAAGCTTAGATCCTCTTCTTTCATTTGATGCAACTCATAATAATGCATATTTCACGCGAGAGTGAATAAAATCATTTTGAAGAGAGGGAAAAAACTCATTTGGCGGAGGATATCTGAAGTTCTAACAGAAAGTCAAATTTCTAAAAAAATGAGTCTCTGCCCTTTCATATGACACCTCAGGAAAAAAGGAAAAATGAGCTGCCTGCAATAACAACAAACGAAATTAACAAAAGACTTAACTCCGTTTCGTTGACAATCAGCCGTAGACGAAAGTCTTCATGCATGGCTGATTGTCAAGGAAACGGAGTTAAGTCTTTTGTCAATTCTGCTTTTTGCTACGGCAGGCAGCAAGTGAAAACGAATTCGTTTAATCAAATTATGGAAATGCAAGCACTACTTTAAACAAACAGAACTTTGTCATTCCTTGCTCATTTTCCCTGATTGAGGTGTCATATGAAAGGGCATAAACCCAACTTTCTAGAAATGTGATTTTCTCTTTGAAATTAAGATACCGCCCGCCAAACGATTTTTAAGTTTCCTCTCTTCAAATTGATTTTCACTGATGCGTGAAATATGCATCATAATGAGTTGCATCAAATGAAAGAGGGGGATCTAAGCTTTCCAAATATGTGTCATTTATAAATTATAAATGTGATAAAGTTATGATAAAACATCGATAATTCTCGGTTTCGTTTTTTCTGGACGCACTGTATAGCCTGAAAAAGTAGGCTGGATTTCCCAAAAAAGAAAGAAAGTTTTCCCCTCCTAATAACTATTCAATTAAATCATATTTTTATTCATCATGATAACGAATATAAAAAACAGAGTTCATGGAAATTTTTACAAAGGCAGGACAATTTAGTAAACCTGTATGTTTAAAACCTACATGCTTCTAAAAATATCAAATTTCTGTTGACCATATGGCATCCAAATTTTGTATTCCCCCCGTCACCACATGAAAGAAAATGACAAAATCTTGTCCCAAAATGCTATTTACATTCAAACATAATTATATTATTATTTAAATTATAATAATCATAGTGAAGCAACCGCGCCTATGTCTGACAAAACACTTTATTTGTATTTGTATTTATTAACATCTATTTCCTTCTCAACAGTACAATATGAAACACAATGTATATATATACATGATATATGTAACAATTATTTCAACATAGAGTATACAGTAAATAATTCAGATACGGAAGGAGGCGAAAACCCGGAAAGCATAGCTTGAGTTGGGAACGCCCATAATAAATTAACACAGTTACCGAAAGAACTTTATAGACATTATTATGAAAATTACATTTTATATAACAGAAAGTTGATAGGAAAGAACAAAAATAGTAAATGGAACAGAGAGAAGGAAAAAAATGAGGAGAGAATTAAGTATAGGAAGGCATGTTCACTTATAAAGAGAATGTTACCTCAATTGGGCTGTGCATGTGTCTGTGATTACATAATAAAAAAACGAAGTACTACAATTTTAAAATAGACAGCGGGTACATATCATTACAAACAAGCAAAATCATCAAACAAACAACAGCTTTATCCGACAGCATTGTCCTGGGAATATACATATATGGTACTAGCAACAGCTGAGGCATGTACGTAAGTGATCAAAATACAAACATGTCATTGAATTGAATTCCACAAGAGGTCATTTCACACATAAATACAAGAGAGGGTATCAATATCGAGCAATTAAATACATTTTTGCCTTACGGGAAAAAGTCTGCAAGGAGAGCGATTTTTGTAGAATAGATGGTAAGGTGTTCCAACATTTTTTGGCCCAGAATGTCAAATTGAAATCTTCGGGTTCTATGTTTAGGGAGATGAATGTTGGCAGCGCTTCTCGTATTATACGTATGGGTTTCAGAGTTGCATTGAAAATTGATAAAATCACTAAATTGTGATGGGAAGATGTTATTCATGCTTTTATTCATGCTTTTATACATGAAAATACCCTGTTGGTGCAAGTTGATATCACTGAATCTCAAGAAAATAATTTGTTTAAAGATGGGACCAGTATGGGAACGATAGTGCATTCCGGATATTATACGAATAATCTTCTTCTGCAATAGTGTAAGCTTTTGTATTATTCAATAAAATCTGATAATGTATACTTTTATCCAGATCTATTATCTTTAAATTATTTTAAAAATAATTCCATAAATTGGGGTAAAACAAAAATATTCCCCCTATATGAGCGACAGTGTATTCGTGTATTGTGCCAGTGTGCTCTGCTGTGCCATAGGGATGGAAAAAACTATTCCAATGGATGAGCATGTTGTATGGGCAACCAGAACTTGTCTAACTTTGTCTTTATCTTTTTCTTATCCTTAATATCATCCTCATACTCGCGTTTTGTTTTGACATCGTTACATTATTTACGTTGTGGTATACCGAAGCGCACTCAACGATGATTGAGGAAACTAATAACAAAACTTAAAGGAGCTACACAAAGAAAATTCACTAACAACTCATAATTATAAAAAATTACATATGGATGGAAAGATTTTCTCTTGAAAAACACGAACAATTTGCTGAGAAATCATATAGATATCATGGAAAGGCGTAAAATGCAATTTCCCAAGACCCTCCTTAGACCCCCGAACGCCCCTGAACGTAAGTCAAACACACAAGCGTAGCGAGCTCTGAATTGTGACGTCACACACTGGACGAACAGCTCAGTGCCGTGTAGCAGTATGCAGCTAGCCAGCCGTGTCCCGTATGTGACGTCACAAATATTGACGCTCTACAAAGCACCGCTGAAGGCAGAAAATCTGGATCTCAAAACTAACATTTTTGAGAGCTGATTACTGCGGGCCCCAAACATATTTTGAAGAGGGAAGTTGTTGTATTTGATCAGTAAGGCTTTCCCTTCGCAATGATATGAATTTTGCATCAATTCAAAACACTTTTGTTTCTTGGGGTGACTCCTTTAAAGGATAAGTCCACTAAAAAAAAAGGTGCTTTTAATAGATGCAGAAAAACAGGTGAAACAGAGCAATGGGCAGCTGGAGTTTCTGATAATGTGTAATACACACACATCCTTTGTAATTATCATCCCCATGATATTTTCTCCAAGTAATTTTAACTATACATGCAGGTAGTCAACCAATCATGCGGATGCAGGTACATGCTGATTATGTATCATATTGCGTGCATGACATTTCACAAAATATTTTATGAACTTGAAGAATTGATACTATTTTCTGAATATTATATAATCATAATTATTGATTTTTATATAAATACTTTATCAAAATCCGAATTTTTCATGATTTAACTGAAAAAAACCCTCTATATTAGTGCATCTACACAAAAACATATTACTATCAATATAACTTGAATGCTGGTGTGAGGAAATAAGATTCTTGGGGGGGGGATGTGAAATTTATGTTATCAATATAACGATAACAATTAGTGGATAGTGAGGCAATGACGTCACAGAATCATTAATGAGTTGCCCCTTTGTCTTGTGATTTTCAAAGTTTTTCATGTCATTAGAAATTCATAACTTTCTTATCAATTTTCCGATTTTGCTCAAACTTTTTTTGACTGGTTAGTCTAATTTTTCTGCTTCTATATTGAAAGTAAGTTATTTTTAGAGTGGACTTGCCCTTTAACCTTTTTAAAAACTACCATTTCCTCAACCTCAGAACATGTACTTGAAGGAATAGTTATTAGAATGTATTTTGAAAACAAAAATCGACTGAAGGTTCTAAATAATAGAAAGTCTCATTTTGTACAAAACTGCATTTATCGAAGTGCTAGACCACGTTCTTTATAAAATCCATGCCCTTTCATCTCTATTAGCTTCATGAGTCGTTCTTTGAGATGCTCTCTTTTGCTGTACATCGGGAGATGAAGCACGACGTAATCGTGACAAGTATTCACTTCAGGGCACATATCCTTCGGGGGGTTCCCCCTACAATCTCCGTCTCCTCCCATAGGCCACATCTTAGGACTAATCTCCTGGAAACCACCAATGGGGACATGGTCTGCACCCGTCAAGATTCCTGAAAACAATTTGCATCGAAGATGAATAATCGGTATCCATTTTTCTTAAAGTAGAGTACTGGTAATGGAAACGTAGTGACCACAAAACTGGTAATTTATCATCATAAAATGTGTGTTGGATACTAAGATGTCAAATGTCAAATCAATAAGTTTCGGGGCAGAAACCGTTGAATGACTTGTTTAAATCTTGTAACTGCCTACCGCCCTCTCTCGGTTAAATAAGAAAATCTGAAGGTATTCTAATCCCCCCGGTCAAACTAGTACAGACGGGCTTTAAAACATCCTGTTTTAACAGGGTGCTACGTTCAAGACAACGATAGTGTCACTGAGACAAGATGATAGTAATCTAGTCATTTCTAGAAAATAAAATATCATTGAAAACAAAAAAAGGTTCAAAATTCGGAAGGTTCATATTTCGGAAATTGAAATAGGGCTCATAATTTCCATGATTCTGAATGTTTCTAATTCCGAAAATTACATAGAACCCTGCATGATTTGTACAAAATTACGAATTTTCGTGAAAAGAACCCTTCTTCATTTTCGGAATTATGACTCCACCTGGTATGGGAAAAATGTTTTTTTCTGAATTTCAAACTTTCGGAATCATGACTTTCGTAAAAACGAGTGCCATCCGAAATAATCAAAGGTATAGTGGATCGATCATGAAAGCATTGTGCCCTAAAAACGGAGCGAGAGAAATGGCTAGATTACTATTATCTTGTCTCAGTGACACTATCGTTGTCTTGATAGTAGCACTGTCAAAACAGGATGTTTTAAAGCCCGTCTGTACTAGTTTGACCAGGAGGGATTAGAACACCTAGAGTGGTCACTAACAGGTGGCTATCTCAGCTCTCAATAAACATAAGAAAAAGAGGATCTTGGGGGACCAACGGACACCGCTTGGCCATTGTTTGCTATATAGAAGGAGCAAGTAGCTTCAAGTAGTAACAGTGGGGCTTTAAAAGGGATTAACAAAAACGCTGAAATAACGGATCTTCTTGATATTATCAATTTTGTAAACAGTACTATGCTATAGGCACGTCTATTTATATACATTTAGGCATTTGTCGGTCAACGATCACCAGTGGAGAGTTGACTTACTCAGGAAGTCTCTTTTATCATCCTCAGTGAGATCATTATGGAACACTGACCAAAACATCTTGACCACGCGATCGCCTTTCTTATAACCGGTATCTCCAGTCGGTCCATGAACAGCTTCGTCAATGTCATAACCAAAGCTCTGTGCAGAGAAGAGCAAATTAAAAAAATAACAACAAACAACGGGCAACAATAATAACACCTAAGAAAAGATAATTGTTCTGTGCCACTAAAAAAATGAAACACAATTTCAAATTTAGTTCTCAAGAAACAAATTTCAAGTATACAATTTGTATTATCTTTGTTTTATCTTCTATTAAATCTAAAAAGCACTTAACAACTTTGCATTATTCAAGAAATAAAAATAAAGATTTTTTGTACATCCATTTTCTGCATCCATGTTGTCCGAAAAAGATTAATTTTCGACTTTTTTTTTAGTGCGTTGATGAGAGATTAGAAAGAAAAAAAAATGTTGAAGAAGAGGAGCTCACTTTTTGAAAGGCCTTCCAATCATATTCCCTTCCTTGGAATAATGACATCAGCTCTTGTGGTGCGAAACGTTGGTGAAGACGGAAACGACCGAACATGCTCCGAAAACTCTCACTGAATACATCGAACTGGGAGGATGCTGTGTAGTGCTTGGCGTAAAGATCAATGTACTCTCGACTGGGATTCATAAAATAAAAGGAATATTTTCATTGAAAGCCAACAAGACTTAAGGATTCATTTTAGGGTTCGGTTGAAAACGGGAGTAAAGAAAACACGGCCTTTATTAAACATCTCTCTTATTGTTCAAAATTATTTCTCAGGATACCATAATTAATAAAGGGGGTTTAGACATTTTGTGGTGGTGGTTATTTTACCTGGCTGCTAAGAAAGCATAAATGCCTGTTAGTAGGCAACCAGACGGCCGACGGCTTTAGGTACTCTCCGAGGGACCTGGTAATGAGGATTAATGCCTTACCAAAGGGCACTAGCGCATCGACTTGGTTTCGAACCCGGGTCACCGGATTACGGGACCACTGCTCGACCAACTGAGCTATTGCGCCTCTTGTAGTTTAGTGCTTAATTACAAGAAAGAGACTTTTTAACTTACAACTTAAAACTATAAACTCCAAATGCTATGTAACGTTTGTTTTGAAATTATATTTTGCGTCAGTATAAAATGTATATTCTAATAATTCTACTTAATGTAGAAAATTTCATAAACAATAATAAGGGATGTTTTATAAAATAACATTCTGAGACAAATTGATCCACAATCAACTAATGTAGACGTGTTGTGGTCTAGTGGATAAGTCATCCGACTGCAGATCTCAAGGTACGGGGTTCTAGTCCTGCCGCGGCACTAATTTCCTTTGGCAAGATGTTAATCTACATTTGCCACTCTCCACCTAGGTTTTAAATGGGTACCCGGTAGGATACGAAAGTTAATGCGGTTACATGAGCAAGTGTGCGCTTAAAATGACGCCTGGCTAGAATGTTCCCCAGGGAATGGAGAAAAAAATAATGTTCATACATTGTGTGCGGGCAAGCCTGAATCAGATGACCGGGGTAATAATATATCTGTAAAGCACTTAGAGACATCATCGATGTATTCAGCGCTATGTAAAAGCAGAATTTTTTTATTAATACTTCCGCGACCAAAATGTCTAATATAGAAGCTTATAAACACATTTCAACGGTATAAATCTTTCTGACGGGTCATGATACACTTACACATTTGCTGTGGTCACGACCTCGTCTCTGCCTCCTGGTTTGAGTTCGATGTCCGGTTCGTTCACAGGTCCATCCACTGTAAATCTGTAGTCGGAAAGCTCATCGTCACTCGCCTCTAGCAATGTTTCCATGCTCTTCGCCATCCCGGGATCAAGTAGTTCCAGATCTTTGAAACTGGACTGGCCAGGCTGGGATTGGCTGAATATTGTTAAAGACACTCAGTAGTCACCTCTCATGGAGAATTCGACACCGTTCGGGTGTTTACCCCAAAACAGGTGTTGTCAATCACCCGGGTTAGCCTTGTGTTTTATGACCATTAGACCTTATGTAATGCTTTGCTTTCCCCCATTACCCGAAAACTCTCGAGTATTATCCGAGAGATTAGGGGAGAATTCTTGACTGGCCAACGGTTTTGCTGTGTGCAGATTTGTACTCCCATTAATGGTATATCCACCAAGTCTGGTGTCAGCGAAATATGGCCTTCTGCACATGGAAACTGCCGATACGGTCCCTTTAAGATACGAGTCGTATTATTTCTCTAGTCACCTGTTGTAATAAGCTACAGTTGATAACTAAATTGTTCATACCCTTACCAAGTTTTGTAATTGTTTAAAGCTTATCTGTACTAGTTTATATGAGGGATTAGACCACCATGCACGGTCACTAGACTGGTGGTTATCTCATCAACTCAGCTCTCAATTAACATAAGAAAAAGAGGATCATGGGGCATCAATGGTCACCGATTAGGCATTGTTTTCTATATAGAGGGAGCAAGTAGCTGCAAGTAGGACAGTGTGGCTTTAAGTAAAAATTTGATTTGTCCCAATTTATGTTTCTTACCTTAAAAAGTATCCAAAAAATACCCTAATTCAATCTGTTCACCTTTCATTCTTGAGATACGAAAAACAAAACAAAAATATCAAATTTGAAAGAGGTACGAATAATTTAATTGTTTACTGTATTGTAATCAGCAATACATCCTCAAATATGATTTAAAATGTAAATGAGATATACTACTCTCTCTTCTCTCCCTCTCTCTCTCTCTATACATTTTCTCTCCCTCCCTTTCTCTCTCTTTCTCTCTCTCTCTCTCTCTCTCTCTCTCTATTTCTCTCTCTATCTATCTCTACCCTCTTCCTCTTTTTCTCTATCTCTCTTTCTATTCTCTTTCTCTCTCTCCTCTATATATATATATATATATATATATATATATATACATTTTCTCTTTCTCCCTTTCTCTCTCTTCCTCTCTCTCTGTCTCTCTCTTTCTCTTTCTCTATTTCTCTCTCTTTCTCTCTCTCTGTCTCTCTCTTTCTCTTTCTCTATTTCTCTCTCTATCTATCTCTACCCTCTTCCTCTTTCTCTCTATCTCTCTTTCTATTCTCTCTCTCTCTCTCTTGCGCGCGCGCTCCCCTCTTTTTTTTTCTTTTTCTCTTTCTCTCTTTTTCTCTCTCTCTCTCTCTCTCTCTCCCTCTTCCTCTCTTCCTCTTCCACCTCTCTCTCCCTTTCTCTATTCATTAGCTAGAGCTCTTCCATTCAATGTATTCCAGATCAATTTATTGACATACATGAAGTCATTCTTTGGTGTGTTCTTTTTAAGAGCTTGTGGAGTTTGACAACGAGCTATCTCTCAAACAAACTCGGCAAAACGCGTACGGAAATCTTGGGAAACAAGTCCGGCCAAGCTCGATCTCGTGTTAGTTCGCAGAGAATTACAATCATATTGAAATGTTTACATTTTTCAGAAAATGTAACAATGAGCTCTCCAATGCAGGAATGCAAATGAAAATCAAACAAATTGGCAACAAAATTGGCAAAAGAATGAGGGACTTTATACCCCTTGCCCCAAAATATTAGACACACATAACTTACTTGCTTTCCTTCGATTAAACTAACAATTGTTAATTGGGTGTATATAGGGAAGGGAAAGAGCAACGTTGATCTGGCGCTGCTCAGTGGCTGCCGGGCTCACGATCAATTGGGCTAACAGAATTTCCGTTTCGGTTTAATGAAATTTGGAGTGGACTATTAGGCTATTATTATTAATATATTATTATTATTATTAATATTATTATTATTATTATTATTATTATTATTATTATTATGATTATTATTATTATTATTATTATTACCTAGTTTCAAGCAGTTTCTTGTAGAAAAGAAGTGGAAACGGCATTGTGACGATGACCTTATTGTAGAACATCAGAGCAAACAGCTTGCCAACTGATCGCAATTTGTCCAGGTCCTTATCGTCCTATATGATACATTTTAAATACAGAAAAATACAAATTTCGATTGCCAGGTGTTTTGATCAGTACAAATATTCCTGCACGAAATACAGATTGATTTGGTATGCTTTTCCTTGGCCAACAAACATTATGTATATGGGGGTGTGCAAATTGTTGGTCTGTTCTCATGGTAATGCAATGTATATAGTTTATACATTTCTGGTTATAAAGTCAATATATTGATCCCGTTAGGACACTAGCTTGCCTGCTTGAGTATCGAACCCACTCACTGAACACTGGGCCACAGGTCCTGATTACTCATGGTCGAGTAATCAGATTAGAAAACCAATATGTTCATAAACGGACGACGGTTTCGACAGGTTCCCAGAAGTAAATGTGGGGGATAAGCAAGGAGGGCTTTCAAAAAAAAAATGGGGGGGGGGGGGGGGGGGAGGGGGTTCAAAATAGGTACTTATATAGCGTTGGAATTGTAGATTAAATCAAGCAAATTGTTTAATGTACATGTGGAGGTTTCTATACAGAACACGTATTTTAAAGATAAAAGGACAGGCAAATGATTTCGTGTTTCCCTGCCTCCGGCATGTTGATGCCAGTAATAGCTACAATCAACTTACATATTGAGATTAGTAATAATGGGTACTCAACTCCCGAGATGAACATTTAATTTCAATAATAACCTTGTTAAACCACAATGTCGTACACGAAGGAGAATCCTTGAGTTTCTTGAAGATGGAATGCTTCTCAACATTGAACAGCTCTTCGAACAGTCGGGAAAAGAATTCCTTTAAGAGAAATGAAAAGGAAAATACACATTTAAACATAATATCTAAACAATCCCAAAGTATCCGAAATCGGAAACAGCAATTAATTAAAACTAGTTTTCTTAAATTTAAAAATTACGGTCCAGTAAAGATTGCAATATTAAAATTGAAATATCTTAATGTTAATTTAGGTTCTTCATCTCGAATTTTATATAGAAAAATCAAAATAACACACGTACAGTATAACTAATTTGAAAGTACAACGAGGGTTTCGGTAGAAGTTGTATTAAGTCTCGTTTAGCCTTATTAAATCCGAGGAAACCGGTTACAAAGCGACTTGACCATCATATTTTATAATATTATCCAGATTAATGAACAATAAATTAAGGCATTTTCAGTGTTGTTTCCTTCTCCAAAGCCTAAAGTCACAGCAACTAAAATATTTCGTTTTGTTCAGACGACATCGCAGAATAAATGTTGGCCTACGTCTTTGAAATTAAGCATGTCTGCATGTTCTAGATAAAGTTATGTTCACACGACCGCAACACTATTTTCGAAAATCAACTCAAGTGCAGCCTAAAGATAAAGTTGAGTTGTGTTCATACGATTGCATTGTGAAAAAACGGTGTGGAATGGATCAGAAGAGGTTGATCATCTAGCATATAAGTATTTGTGTGTATAGCAATGTTTTGGAATCATCAAAATGATAAGAAATTTGGCAAAGTCTTGGTAAAGTTACAAGCACTGTACACAGAAAGATGTATAGTTATGGGACTACGCGAGCACGTGACCTAAAAATCCGTCCCGATTTGTACGAAGTTACATGCCATATTTATAACATGAATGCATTTGAAGAGCCATGTTTTTTAGGGAACATGGTTTATCTGATGTTCTTCCACATTTGCATAATAAGAATGATAACGCTCACAAATGTTTGTTCACCTCTTCCCAGAACTCAACCTTCTCTTTAAATACCTTATTGTATGTCCGATATCAATAATTTTCAGATGACACAATACGTCATTGTCCTTTTTACACGGTTCGATAGGTGACACGCAAAACGATTAAAAGTGCCTTCGGTTGATTTTTCGATAGTAGTTGAGATCTCGTGAAAGGGTGTTCAGATTTACCTTCATGGGGCCACCAGCATCTACACCCCAAGATTCGTTATCCTTGAAATGGACCGCCAACGGGAGCAAGAGAGACGTTTCATCTTTACCTTTAACCTCCGAGATCGCCGATTCAACAACTTTCTCTTTGTCGTTGTCGATTTCGAATTGAAGCTGTGCTACTCTCAGGTTTAATGCAGCTGGGTTCATTGTCAGATTCCGAAAAGCTTCCTCCAAATGGCGCTAGAGAGGGGTTCATGGGTAAAAAAAAATTATTTGAAACGAAATAAGCCTTCCATGCATGCAACCATCGATGGTCATAATGATAAGGCCTCACAAAAAAGATGTTGTATTGCCCTTTAGGTGCCAAAAACATGGGTCGGTCGGTCAGAAAATCTTTTTATTTAAAACTCCCTCTTTAGGCTGATATTTCTCAGTTTTGCTGAAATACATTTTTTTCTAAAATACAGTTTAATTTTTTTGTTATTTTTTTTTGCCAGTATTCCGTAACGTGTTTTATAATGCAAACAACTATTGGCAAGTCCAATCACTCAAGTAAGAAAGATAAGCGATTTGGTAAGACTATAATAATGTCTCAACACACACGCAAAAAAGAGAAAATGAAAGCAAATACACAGAAAGATATAGAACAAATATAATTTGGGTTATCTGAATATCAGATGGACTAAAACGACATTTTTAAGTCGTGTAAGTTCATTTTGGGTTATTTATCCACAAAGTAAGAATTAATGAAAACTAATTCACAAAGAGAAAGTTTTAGATACATTCTGGTTTTGTTTTGATTAAACAAATATTTATTACTTACTACATGTATAAGTGACATTCTTAACCACGCCTTTATATATATATATATTTTTTAAATACAAATCATTGAGAGTTCACTTCTTCACTACGACAGGTTTCATTTTTGTTCCTTCAGATCAAGAAATAAAATTAAAACTGAAATTGCCAATTCCTCTTTTACTCACATTTTCATAAAGACATTTTGAATAAATTAGTTATGGTTATGAAAAGTAGAATAATATGGATAGTGACCATTGTATGAAATTTCTTTAAATTCACATCTAATTTTCATTTATCGAGAAATCGAGAAGATTTTTTTTTTGCTGCTTCCATGACCTCACCATGTCTATGAATAGAACTTTAAACATACCTTACATGCATCTTCAAAGTCAATACACAGCATCTTCCACTTCAGAGGTACATCCAGTAGAAAAAGCAGGTCACCTAATGGAAGGGGACCCTGAATAAACGAAGGGGGGGGGGGGGGGAGAGGGGGAAAAAAGGAAAAATATTTTCAATTACATAAGCGGACGAGAAGAGAAAACTCGATGGCGGTAGTCAATATAATCTCAAATCCAAGGATGAGATAAGAGGATTCCACCCCTACCCCCGGCTTTGAGTTAACCTGTTTTTGGTTAAAAATCATCATAATTATGTTTCTTTAGAATAATCTAGAATGAGTGATTAATGTTCAAGTAATCTTGATACAGATTTGATACATTGTCGATAATATAATTATATCACCCCCATCTCTCACATGATGCAACCGTAAGCCTACTGCATAATTTCATGATTGTTTTTTTTTGTAGTGTAGTGTAATGTTCTCAAGAAAATATGAAGCATAAGATGACTAAATAAATACCGGGAGATGGGGTTGCAATTGCTGTTGATGATACTCAAGAAGATTATTCGCGATCTTCCTGTTTGTTTCTTTATCTCCTGATTGAAGGATGTAAAACTGATTCGCTCGGACCTTGCACCCAGGCGATTCATTGATCTGTATGTGAAATGATCCATAAACGTCTTTCAATCTCATTACATCATTATAGTGAGACAATTTTGCATTGAGCAGTTCCATAGAATCGTAATTAAAGGGAAATCCTACCTTCATATCAAAGTACTCTCGAGGAAAGTAGACAAGTCGGAAAAGTATAGACTGGTGAAAGTTTGAATGAAATCGGACACAAAATGAGTAAAATTAAAAAAAAAAAAAAATTGCAATCACTACAGGCATTCGCTCTTTAAATTGGCTAAATCGGTAATGTCTCGAGGATGTAGAGGCGGATAACTTTCCCTTTTGTTCAATCACACAACATGACTAAAATGTTACGTTTTCAAAAATGTATGATTCAGGAGGGTTTATCATCATTAGAGGACTTACAATAATATGCTATCCATAATATATTTTGAGTAGTGTCCCAAGGAAGAAGACACCAAGGAAAAAAAAACTGAGATTATTTATATGTTTGTACATGACAAACGGAAGAGTTATCCGTCACAACGTCATAATCCACTGACTAAACTGCCGATTGAAGATACGCATAGACTGAATGATTTCATATTTCAAACATTCATAATTTCTTTATCATTCTTCTTATATACAAATGAACTAATTACAAGGGTAGGATTTCTCTTTAATTTTACTAATAGAGACTCCATAATGAGTGCTATATTTTGCACAATAAACCTCAAGAGGGTAACAGTAAAGGTTGCTTACCAGAAGAGTTAAAAGATAAAATGTTCAACCTATTCCCAACAGTTTGCCTCAGATTATCACGTTGCTACTTTGTTACGATCTGTTATTTCTACATCATAGTGCATTTCACACCTATAAATATTCAAATTACGACAACGCGTCGCATGAAAACAAACATGAAGTAAAATAGACAGAACAACCATTAACAGTTATTAATTGAAAATTAAATCATTTCCGTTTCCCAAACATACGAACCAGTCTCAATATCTCAAAGTATGGGTAATTATCAGGTGGTTTCGACGCATTATTGTCCAGATAAAACTTCAGCTCATTCCTGAATGCCTGTACGAAGACCTTGATCACTCTGGCTAAAAGATCAGAATCCTTATCCCACCAACGTTCTGTCAAGGGAAAATAAAATATTAATCGAATGGTCCAATGATCTAATTATTCAAGACTCATTCTATGCTTCAAATCAGTCTAAAATCAACCACTTGAAGTCAATTTTATAAATTTACGACTGAGAAATTCATTTTCCCGTAAATTTTTGCACGCGAAATTAAAACAGTTTGTCTAAAGGTCCTGGTCTCTGTTATCAAGACTCATTCTGTGCTTTAAAGGCCCACTGCACTACTTGTAGCTACTTGCGCCCTCTATATAACAAACAATGCCTAATCGGTGACCGTTTGTCCCCCATGATCCTCTTTTTCTTATGTTAACTGAGAGCTGAGTTGATGAGATAACCACCTGTCCAGTGACCTTGCAGGGCAGTCTAATCCTTCCTGTAAACTACGGCAGATAAGCTTTAAATCAGTCCAAACACAACTATTGTAGTCAATTTATTTTGAGTTTCTTTAAATTCACGATTGAGAAATGTATTTTAACCTGCAGTAATTGGATAAATGGAAATAGTAGACCCCTAATATAAGGACTAAATATTCGTAATTGTACGTAATAATTCCGTATTGACTTTAGACACCGGAAATAGGGGTCCTTTCAAAGGGAGGGAACATGTATATGCGTACCCTAAATAACACTGAGTGCGGGGAAGGGGGGAGGGGGAGGGGCTTGCCTTACTATATAAGTGAACATTATGCTTCAAGCCACTTTTGATTTGTCATTACCAAGCACAGCGATGTTTCTCTTCGAAGTTTGATACATCAAGGTCAAGATTACTGCCATTTCTTTGATGATACGACCACCCCACTCTTCATCCGGTCTGTCGAAGGCTGGACACTCGAGTAGGATCGGAACTACTAGGAGAAGATCGGGTTCGATTTCATCATCGCATAATTCTGAACGCATTCCCCTTCTCATGTGCTCGAAGAAAGCTGCTGCTACCTGCATTCCCCTCCTCATGTGCTCGTAGATAGCTCCTGCTACCTGCATTCAACATGAGCCAAACGAATAGTGAGAATGAGATTTTTGCTCCCGAAAATTTGAAAATCACGCTGGCCGAAAATTCGCTCAGTGGAGGGGGGGGGGGGGGGGATTGCTGTAGCAACAAACATAGTTGACAAAAGACTTAACTCCGTTTTGTTGAAGATCAGCCATGCATCAGGTCTTTCGTCTTCTTTGTGCATGGCTGATCGTCAACGAAACGGAGTTAAGTCTTTTGTCAACTCCATTCGTTGCAACGGCAAGAAGCCAGTGAAAACGAACCCGTTTGATCAAATTATGGAAATGCAAGCATTACTTTAAACAAACTGAACTTTGTTATTCCTTGCTCATTTTTCCTAATTGAGATGTCATATGGAAGGGCAGAAATTGAACTTTCTAGAAATGAGATTTTCCCTTTAAAATTCAGATACCGCCCGCCAAATGACTTTTTGTTTTCCTCTCTTCAAATTGCTTTTAATCACTCATGCGTGAAATATGCATCATATGAGTTACATCAAATTAAAGAGGAGGATCTAAGCTTTCCATATATTTGTCATTTATTAATTATGATTGATAAAACATCGATGATTCTCGGTTTCGTTTTTTTCTGAGACGCACTGTATATAGGTATAGCACACCAAAAATAAGTACAACAAACACATTTTATTTGATGATTGCAAATGATCAAGCTTTATGAAAGCTTCAACAAAAAAAGAAGCAGAATTGAAATCGGTCAATGCGTTGTGATTTTATACAATTTTTTTGATATCGCAAAATTACCGAAAAACCTGCCAGAAATGGTCAAATTGGCAAAAACGGCAAAATTCGACAAAGTTGATAACTCGGACACAAATAATAAATTAAATTATCAGACACTAAAATATCATCTTTGTGGTAAAAACTACAAAAAAGAAAATTCATATATCTATTACCGTTTTGAAAACAGAAGCAAACAAAATAAGTAATTTTTGCCATTTTTGCGAATCTGCAGATATGAAAAAGTTGTGAAAATAACTAAGTCCGCCTAATTAATATGCGCATATGTAATCGAATCATAACCGAACATGATACATCAATGAAACCTATGTATATCACACAGGTATGGAAATATTTATTTTTTTGAAGAAAAGGAAATTATGGATATTCATCAAATATGCAAATTAGGTCATTTCAGCTAATTATATATATCGTTGGTGGGTGACAAAACCTCAATTTTTTTAGATTTTGATTTTTTGTTGCATAATTTGTACCTAATGGCCTACGACACCACCTGATAAATCCACGGAACGCTTCCTGTCTCGGTTTTTTTCTCACAAATTACACACAAAAGACGGTGTCACAGCACTAAATCTGTTGA